GCCAGTCTTATACTGATGTATTTTTCAATATCTTTCTAATGATTTATTTATTTATTTGAAAGACAGAGTTACAGACAGAGAGAAGGAGAGACAGACAGAAGTCTTCCATCTGCTGATTCACTCCCCAAACGACTGCAGTGGCTAAGTTGGGCTGACCCAAAGCCAGGAGCCAGGAGCTTCTTCTGGTTCTCCCATGTAGGTGCAGGGGCACAAACACTTGGGCTATCCTCTATTGCTTTCCCAGATGCATTAACAGGGAGCTGGATTGAAGCAGGGCAGCTGGCACTTGAACGGGTACCCATATGGGATGCCAGCATTACAGGCAGAGACTTAACTTACTATACCACAACTCCAGCCCCCGATTTTTGAATGTTTAAGCAACTTCCAGATTCTGTAATAAATTCAAAGTGACCATGATATGATATCCTTTTTGCATTTTGCTGGGTTATATTTGCTTATATTTTGATTGTTTATCTATATTCATGGGTGATTTTGGCCTGTAATTTGTTTTCTTGAGTTATAATTATGATGTTATAGCAACTTCTTAAAAATGAATTGGGCAGTATTCTGTTTTTATGAGAAAATTTGTACAATTTGATATTATTTAAGTGTTAGCAAGATTTTATTGTGAAATCATCTGGGTTTCACATACTCTTTAATCCATGCATTCTCATCTAAAATGATTTGGGGACTTAAGTACAAGAAGCAGCAGGAAATTGAATAAAAACCCACTTTAAAATGGTGATTCCTATGGTTAATGGGAAACCACTTCAACAAATTCAAGAACAAAGAAACGTACATGAATGCACACATATTAACAAACAGGTGTTTGGAGAAATCACCTACACTGGCTTGTAGTCGCCATTTTCTGATATCCTACTTTAAGGTTTCCCTATCCATTGAATGGGATAAAAATGGACTTTATCCACCTCTTGCCATCTGTAGTCTTAATCTAAATCATTTAACTCACTCCGCATACTTGAACATTCCAACCAGTTCCCAAACCTAGAAATTTCCGAAATAGTTCAATTATGAGTGGTGTCTGAGCTGGAAATTGGTACAGATGGGGCATTCCAGGACATCATTACTTTCCATGCCCTTCTAAGGGTATACAAAGTTGAACAAATATGTACTATTGGCTCTCCTGAGAGTTATCAGCTTAGCCTTTAGAAAAGTCTTCATTTAAAAAATATTTATATAAAGGGGACACATTTTATATTTTATATATAGAATATTAAGAGCTTCCTTGTTTTACTTTTTTAGTGACATACTTTCAATTTTCTTTATAATCACAAGCTTAACTCTCCAGCAAATAAAGAATTCAACAAGTAGAGAAACCACTGTTCCTAGATAGTAGCTATAAACAATAATCAAATCTTAAAATTTCAATTTCAAGCCGGCGCCGTGGCTCAATAGGCTAATCCTCCACCTTGCGGCGCCGGCACACCGGGTTCTAGTCCCGGTTGGGGCGCCGGATTCTGTCCCGGTTGCCCCTCTTCCAGGCCAGCTCTCTGCTATGGCCAGGGAGTGCAGTGGAGGATGGCCCAGGTGCTTGGGCCCTGCACCCCATGGGAGACCAGGAAAAGCACCTGGCTCCTGGCTCCTGCCAGGATCAGCGCGGTGCGCCGGCTGCAGCGGCGGCCATTGGAGGGTGAACCAACGGCAAAGGAAGACCTTTCTCTCTCTGTCTCTCTCTCTCTCACTGTCCACTCTGCCTGTCAAAAAAAAAAAAAAAATTTCAATTTCACTGATACACATTGCATTTTTTTCTATTTTGTATATTAGTTACTAAAAATCTGGGAAAACAATAATTATCTTTTTGGAACTTATTTCACTAAGATTAATGGCCTCCAATTTCATCTACTTTGTTGTCAAAGATAGGATTTCGTTATTCTAAATGGCTGATCAGTATTCCATAGTGTATATATACCACAATGTCTTTATTTAGTCGTTAGTTGGTATACATCTGTTTCCATTTCTTAGCTATGGTGAATTGAACTGCCATACAAATAACTCTTTCATATACCGATTTCATTTCCTTTGGGTATATTTCCAGTAGTGGATGCTGGATCATATGGTAGAACCATTTCAGATTTCTGAGGAAACACCAGACTGTCTTCCATAATGGTTGTATTAGTTTACATACCCTGCAATAGTACATTGGAGTAACTTTTTTCCCAATTCCTTGCCAGAATTTATTAATTTTTTTTTATTTTTGGATGATATTCAATGCAGCTGGGGTGAGGTGAAACCTCATTTTGGTTTTTATTTGTATTTCCCTGATGGCTAGTGATCCTGTGCATCTTTTCATGTGTCTGTTGGCAATTTGCATTTCATTATTTGAAAATTGCCTATTTTTATATTCTTAGCCCATTTCTTAATTGGACTGCTTATTTTGTTTTTGTTGAGCTCCCTAAATAACCTGTATATTAATCCTTTATCAGATATATAATTTGTAAATATTTTCTTCCATTGTATTGCTTGCCACTTCACTTTGTTGAGTGTTTGATTTGCTGTGCAGAAGCTTCCTAACTTGATGTAATCCCATTTATCTATTTTTGCCTTTATTGCCTGTTTCTGAGGTCTTATCCAAGAAGTTTTTGCCTATGCCAATGTCTTACAGCATTTCTGCTATATTTTCCCCTAGTGGCTTGATGGTTTTAGGCCTTAGTTTTGAATCATTAATCCATTATGTGTTGATTTCTATATAGGGTTTAAGGTAGGAATCTTTTTTCATATTTCTGCATGCAGAGATCCAATTTTTCCAATAGAATTTGTTGAAGAGACTGTCCTTTCTCCAGGGAGTGATTTTAGCTCATTTGTCAAAGATTAGCTGATGGTCTTTCACGAACCATATCTGGGAGTTGCAGCAGGGATCAAAGACTTATTTATTTTGTTCAGCATAACTAATAAAAATGTCCTTAAAGAATGGGTTTTACTAAGTAGCTAATGCACAAGGGAAAAAAATATGCAAGATAGGCAATACAGGATTTAAAACACTACAATTTTTGTTAATTATTTAACTCTTTTAGTAAACCTTTTCCTTATCATGGGCCCTTTGTTACAAAGTATTCTCAATAACTACTAAATTATTTCCCAGTTGAGGCTTTGAATTACACATATCAAATAGAATCAGATAGAATTATTTTCTTTACGGAACCTCTATTGACTATTATTTCTATGATCTCTTCTGTCCATGCTATCATTACTAATTGCATCTTTAGTAGTGAGATATTATTCATGTTTATAAGTCTTTGTATACCAAACAGCAAATAAATGACAGGTATGGATAGAACACAAACCATTTGACATAGTCCAGTAGTCTTTCCAATAGAATTCTACTGCTTCACTGAAGATCCTCACATTTGTTACTTTTGAAGGGCTATCAGCAGTCCTATCAGGAAATTAACCTAGAAGTTTAAGGAAGGTATGCACAGCAAGGATCAAGGAGAAAAGAATTCTGAGTTTTTACCAGGGGATGATACATTATGTCTTCCATGGTACAAAGAATCTAACAGATTTTTCTTCTTTCATACCTGAAGAGTGCACTTCTCATTTGCATCAGGGAGGAAAGGTTTCCACATTTCCTCACTAGCCTCAGAACTATGGAACTATCATGATTCCAGTTGCTTCTCAGAAAGGGAGATAATCACTTTCACTTTGATAAGGAACTGATCTTTAGTGGCAGAATCTAGCTTTGCCCTCCTATTAAGCAATTTTTAAAATGAAAGCACATTATCTTAATAGGTGGGATTGTTTGACTCTCCATGCTAAGCTCACTTCTGCAGCTTCTCTTCTAACAATCATGCCAGTGATTGGAAAAGGAAGTAGGGTACAGAGGTAGCTTATAACTGTGCAGATATTCCCCTCATAAATAGTGGTATAATCAAGATTGAATCACAACGCATCTTTAATGAAGGCTTTAAAGAGCCTATTCATGGATTTGAATTTCTCTCCACTAGACTCTTACCAAATGCTGCAGGAGGCACTGAGGAGACTATATTTATGTCTCATTAATAAAGATTACTTTCAAAAGGCATGTCTTTTACATAATCATAAAGATGAAGGGATTTTTAAAGCAACTGTATCATTGAAAAGGAGATTGATGTGTCTGATCAACAACAATTCCATTCCTAACTGAAGTTTTATATCTGAATGATTCCTGCAAGTGTATTTCCTCTGTAAAACATTTCTGATCGGTAATGAATGACACTAGATATTTCATTTTCAGGATACAGACTGATCTGATATGATTCTCTGCCTTTTATATGTGGCCTTGATTGGCATTCCAAAAATTCATGTTGGGAACCTGCAAAAGAAATTGTCTGACATACCACCTGAGGGGATAATGTGAAGAAGCTGCAGACGGTGGATATAATCGTCACTCTGGCAAATATGGGGTGTGAGAAAAATATGCTTCTTCCCTGTGTTTGCAAGCAGCGACAGAAATTTCTGTTTTCTACTGGATTTCTCAAAAAGAACCTTTCAACAATTCTTTTTACCAGTTTGTAAAATGATACCATTAGAAATTATTTATGAGTTGTTGAAGTGAAATGGACACTATGAGAAACAGTGACTCGATCAGCTCTTGTCCTGACGGTTGATATACAATGTAATACTTTATCATTTTAGTATTTCTTTTTGTTCTAGTACCATTGGTTGAACTGTAATTAACACACAATTATTCTTAGGTGTTTACATTTTAACTGAAAAGTGATCCCTGTTAGGAATTTGGAAAACATTATGCTGAGTGAAATAAGCCAATCCCAAAGGGACAAATACCACATGTTCTCCCTGATCGGTGACAACTAACTGAGCACCAAAAAAGAAACCTGTTAAAGTGAAATGAACACTATGAGAAATGGTGACTTGATCAGCCCTCACCCTGACTGTTGATGTGCAACTTGATATGTTATCCCTCTTAGTATTTTTTTGTTTGTTCTACTTAATACTTTTGGTTGAATACTGTAATCAATACACAATTCTTCTTAAGTGCTGAAACTTAACTGAAAAGTGATCGCTGTTAAATGTAAGAGTGGGAATAAGAGAGGGAAGAGATGTGCAATTCGGGACATGCTCAAGCTGACTTACCTCAAACGGTAGAGTTAGAAACATACCAGGGGATTCCAATTCAATCCCATCAAGGTGGCATGTACCAATGCCATCTCACTATTCCAAGTGATCAATTTCTGTTCACAATTGATTGTAATGATAGGACTAAGAACCAAAGGGATCACATAAACAAGAATAGTGTCTGCAAATACTAGCTGATAGAATCAAAAAGGGAGAGAACGATCCAACATGGGAAGTGAGATACACAGCAGACCCATAGAATGGCAGATGTCCTAAACAGCACTCTGGCCTCAGAATCAGCCCTTAAGGCATGCGGATCTGGCTGAAATGCCCATGAGAGTATTTCAGGCATGGAAAGCCAAGACACTCTGGGGAATAAAAAACCTAAATGAAAGATCTCTGTGAGTGAGATCCCAGTGGAAAGAACAGGTCATCAAAGAAGGAGGTACCCTTCTCTGAAGGGAAGAGAGAACTTCCACTTTGACCATGGCCTTGTCTAAAAATTATCAGAGTCGGTGAACTCAGGGGGCTTCCATAGCCTTGGCAGCTCATGACAAGAGCCTAGGTTGATTACTGATGCCATAAACAAGAGTGTCAATTTGTTAAGTCAACAACAGGAGTCACTGTGCACTTACTCCTCATGTAGGATCTTTGTCCTTAGTGTGCTGTACATTGAGATTTAATGCTATAACTATTACTCAAACAGTATTTTTCACTTTATGTTTTTGTGTGGGAGCAAACTGTTGAACTCTTTACTTAATGTATGCTAAACTGATCTTCTGTATATAAAGAGAAACGAAAATGAATCTTGATGTGAATGGAAGGGGAGAGGGAATGGGAAAGGGGAGGGTTGCGGGTGGGAGGGACGTTATGGGGGGAAGCCATTGTAATCCATAAGCTGTACTTTGGAAATTTATATTCATTAAATAAAAGTTAAAAAAAGAAATTATTTATGAGGTCGGTGTTTGGATTGGTTGTTAAGATATCACTTTGTGTGTCCATATCTCAGATCACAGTGCCTGGTCTGAGTACTGGCTCCTTTCCTGATTTTAGCTTCCTTGTAACACTCCCTGGGAGGCAGCAGGTGATGGCTCAACTACTTGGTCTCTGCCACCCATTTGAGAGACCCAGAATGAGTTCCTAGCTTGAAGCTTCAATTTGGCCCAGCCCTGGCTGCTGCAGGTGTTTGGGGGAGTGAGCCTGCCAATGGAAGATTTCTCTTTCTCTGTCTCATTGCCTCTCAAACACATTAAATAAAAAATTGTGAAAATCTTTATAAATATTTTGAAAGGTAAGAATATCTCTTAGAAGAATATTTCCAAGCTCAAAAAACAGGGTCATTGATCTTTATAATTGATTGTCAGGCTATTAATGATCATCTTAATTTTTGTACAGTTCCCATAATGGAAACTATTTTTGTTACCATCTACAGCACAATTGCCAGTGACATGATTTGGGATTTACCAGGTATCAATGTACTTTAGATGCATTATATCAGTGCATCCTCATAATATATGGGATAGGTAGTTCCGAGAATGTTTTAAATAAAATAAAATATTTTCATAATTTAAGGATCCTGAGTATGGTAACTGAGTAAAGAATGACAGTGCCAGAATTTGAATGAAGACTTTCTGACTTCAAATTCAGGATGTTTTAACCACTGGAGACATTTTGCTTCTAGTCTGCTATGGGGTTGAGAACCAGGTGGTCAAACTTATTAGAATGGTGTTCTATGTAAAATAATAATATAAAGGCAACATTCGAGATAACAAATTCTCCTGAAAAGATGTTATACACTTTAGAACAGTGGTTTCCAGTGAGCGTTTAAAAGACAGACTGATAACGTGTATGAAACTGCATGTAAAATAGCATACAACATGTAGGTTACTGTTTTTTGGATGCATATATTTAAACATATTCAATGATTTAAATATGCTAATGAAGTTTTCGTCTATTTTATTGATTAGTGGGAGAAAGTACAATAGAACAATGTGATTAAACACACAGACTGTAGAGCCAGGTTGCTTGGATTTAAATTCCAGGTCTGTCAATTTCTATCCAAGTGACCTTGGATAAGTTATTTTAATCTCTCTGTGTCTTATTTTCCTCATATTTAAAATGAGTTTAACTATAGTAAGTATCTACCTCACTGGAAATTAGTGAAGGTAAAATGAATTAAGATTTGTTAACACTTAAAATATGTCTTAGTTCTCACAGCATGTACTAGGTCTTTCCTTGAGGTGCCAAACCCTAAATACATAATCAACCATTCTTCAGAGCCCTGTTAGTAGTTTTTTGGATTAACCTAAAAATGTTGAGAACCACTGCTCTAGAACAGATTCACTAAGATTTCTAGTTTGATTGTTTTAGAGATCTGTTTTTTTTTTTTTCAATCCTTCCAGGTTTTTATATGTGTTTTTCACAGAATGTATAGCCTTTTTCCTGTGTAAGAGGAAAACATTTTATAAAGTGTTATGGAATCACAGGTATACAATTTGCATTTAAGTGCTGAATCAAAGTCAACAATACAAATGACACCATTTCCAGAGCTTAACATCAAATGTAAAAACCAGACAATAGACATTACTAAAACACATTACCTTTTTCTTTTTGTACTGTTTATATTTTGAGAAGTAGACCTCTATTTTCATTTTAATATATGATGTACTTAATGTACTTACTTGTTCATTTATACATGCAAATAAATAATACTCTTATCAAGTGAATTTTGAACTCAGACTACAATCATTGCTATTTTGCTTCTCTAAGGGAAGCTGATCTACACCCTGAATACTATTTGATAAGTGCCTATATTTATTTGTATTCTGAGATTCTGCTTCAGTCTACTAAAAATCATTTCTTGGCAGCCTTGGGTAATTGCAGATATAAAGGCTGTGCGAGTAATTTTTCCCCTACAGGGAAGTGAAGAAGGAAACTACTGCTGGAGTGGGTAGATACATTTCAACCCAGGGAAAGAAGGAAATAATTAAAGGCAGGAAAGACAATTTGGTTATATCACATCTCATGCATATTAGAAGACCTGTGATTTTCTAAGAAACCCATCACCCCTGTGCTACACACACACACACACACACACACACACACACGCACCCCGTGGACCAAATTCAGAGTGAAAAAAAATCAAGGCAGCAGTTTGCTCAGACATTAGCATCTCAAAACCTAAAAACCAAAGCACATTTTTGTATACATATCACTGGGGAGAACCATAGTGTCCTGAGGGATTTGTTCAGAGCTTGAACAATAAACAGGAACTCTATGAGGTGACACAAAGAAAATGCTAAACAGTTCCTGTTTACATTTCCTCTCACATGAAAGGACAATAGGCTCATCTTTGATGCAGGAACAGAAAACACAAAGTGTGCATCTGACATCCATTCTAAAGGATGTCCTGCCTGTGTGGCTGTGGTACCAAAGAGGACAGTACCAACAGTTCCACTGCACCTTCTGTTGTCTTTTCTAATCGTTTTTTATAGCTACAAGGATATCTTTGGAAATGCCCAGAGAACATTTCCTTTTCCACATTCCAGGACTACAAGGACAAAGGAAGGGTAGACTATTTCCTAACAATGTCTTCAAGACATCGCCAAAAACCCCTCTCTTTTTTCTTTTTTATTTAATATCAGTGGTTCTCAAAATTCATGGTGTAAAAATCACCCAGAAGTCTTATAAAAATACAGCAGCAGAGCCTCATCCCTCGAGTTCTTGATCCTGTAGGTTTGATTGGGGACTGACAATTTGAATGTTTGGTAGGTTCCCAGGTGACACTGATGCTGTTAGTGATAGGACTGTACTTTGGGAAATACTGTACAGAACTTCAAACAAGAACCTAGGTTTTCCCAATGTTTCCACACTTTGAAGATCCTCCAGGGATCTCAAAACTATTGATGCCTGGCATCATGCCCAGAAATTCTAATTTCATTAAGGTAGGATGTGACCTTCATATTAGGGTTTTTACAGGTCTCTTGATGTGATTCTGAAGTGTGGCAGAGTTTGTGAACTAGGGTATTAGGATACCCTTCTCACAGAATGTCCTTGAACTAACAGCTTACAAGATCCCAACCAAAAAATTTGGATGTTTTGTTCCCTTATCTTCTGCTTTCATCCATCTGGCAAAAACATCCCCAGCTTGGAGCAGTGCATTATCTCTACATTTCTCTTTTTTGCTTGTGTTGTGATGTACTTCTAGAAAAATACTGTAACTGCATATATTCATGCATTGATGAAATAAAAAAAATTACTATCATATATAAATTAACTGGCCCTTCCAATATTTCTAGTCACTAACGTACAAGACTTGATTAGGCTCCTTTATTGTCAGACTTTCTTTCATACAAAGTCTCTATTGCTCTTTCACTCATATAACATTTCTTTTTAAAAAATATATTTGAAGGCAGAGAGGCAGAGTGAGAGAGACAGAGAGATCTTCCATCCTCTGGTTTACTCCCCGGATGTCTGCAAACACTTGGGCTGAGCAATATTAAAGCCAGGAAGCTTGAATTCAACCAGGGTCTCTGTCATGGGTGGCAGGGATCCAGACACTTGAGCTATCACCTACTGTTTCCCAGAATGTACATTACTGGAAGCTGGAGAGGGAAACAGAATCAGAACTTAAACACAGACACTTTGATATAGGATGTGATGTCCTAAGTAGTAGTTTAACTCCTAAGTGCTCAAACCCTTTTATAATATTTCTTTACAAGGTCTCTCAAATCTTGTAATGCATCTTGGTAGTGCTCAATCTTGGGTCTTACTTCCCCTCCCCACACCCAGAGCACATTTGCCAGTGTCTGGAAAAACTTTTGCTATCACAATTAGGGGCAGAGGACTGTGCTGCTGACATCTGGAGGGTGGATATCCTGATGCTGCTGCTAAACATCCTACAGCGGAAAGGAAAACTCCCACAGTAAAGAACACTAGACTTTACACTCATTGGATGATAAAGACAGTAGGCAAAAGAAGAAAACATGTTTGAGAAGAAGGTGGTGTTGCATAGCAGTTAAGCTACCACTTGGGACACCTACATCCTGTATCTGAGTGCTGGCTCCAGTCCTGGATGCGCTGCTTCCAACATAGCTTCTTGTTAGGGCATCCTAGGAAACAGCAGATGATAGTTCAAGTGCTTTGGTCCCTGCTATCATGTGGGAGACCCTGATGGAGTTCCTGGCTCCTGGATTTGGCCTGGTCCAGCCTTTATTATTGTGGCCACTTGGGGAGCAAACCAGTGAATAAAATATCTGTGTTTCTATCTGTCTCTTCTCTCTCCCACTATATCTCCTTTCCTCCCTCTGTCTTGGCCCCCTTCCTACCCCATTTATTCTCTTTGTCTCTCTTTCATATAAAATGTTATATGACAGAAGGTGATCACTGCTCTAGGGAATATGGTGAGAATGGGAAGATTTTGATTTTACTGTGTGTGGTGACATTTAGGTAAACTTGAGGAACCAGGTAGCAGAATATATAAATGTGCCAGCAAGGGCAAAAGCCCAAGGAACAGGGTATATGTTAAGTTTGAGGAAGAACAGCACAGACTGTCTGTTAGGAGCAGAATGAGTGCTTAAAAGGGAAGAGGCAAAGAGAGATTAGAAGAGGGGATTCGAAGTATAACCCAACTATGCCATATACAAAGAAACTCACTTTATTACTATTTCTGTAAACTAACTTAAATATCACTGTATAAGCAGGTCAATAGTAATAGGATGGAAAAAGATACTATGCAAACATTAATTAAAGGAAAGCAAAAATGGTTATATGTCAAATAAAGATGACCTTGGGGCAGGGAAATCTACTAGATATAAAAACAGAGATTATATAAATGATTAAAAGGGTGACTTCACCAAGGAGACATAGGAATTTTAAATATACATGTACTAAATAACAGAACCACAAGTAATGTGAAGCAAAAAAATAACAGAATTAAAAGGAGTAATAGATGTATTTACAATAACTTCAATCTCTATCTCTAATTGATAGACTAGCCAGGCAAAATATCAACAAAAATACAGAAAAACTCAATATCATCAACAATAAGATCTTATTGATTCCATCTAATGAAAGAAAAATAATTTTTTCTCAAGTGTCCATGGAATATAAACCAAAGTTAACCATATGAAAGTCTATATAATAAACCTTAATGTATTTAGAATAACAGAAATCATACAGAATGTGTTTTCTATCACTATAAATCAATACAATAAAGACAACAGGAAAATTTCCAAATATGATTTTCAATAACACATTTTCCCATAATTATTCCAACACAATGTTCAATAATCCATGGGTCATCGATGAGAAGTTGTCTAGGGGAATTTTTAATAAATGTGACTGAATAAACATGAAAATATATGATATTCCATTTTCTGATACATAGCCAAAACACTGTTTAAAGGAAACTATATGACATTATATGCATATATTAGGAAGGAGGAAATTAATCCCAAAACAATATTGACTCCCATATCAATAATTTAGAAAAGTGAGTAACATCAGCAAGATGATGGGATAGGAGATAACCACTGTATTCCTTACAACCAGAATTCATTACCCATCCATGGACAAGTCTCTTTTTAGGAGGCTTGGTATTCAGGTAGGCATGTGTATGAAACAAAAATGGAGCCCAAGACACACAAAGGCTGCTTTGAGTCTAGAACAAAACCCAATTGTTAGACCCTCCAACTTTATTCCTAGATTCAAAATCAGAAATGACTATGTTTCCCAAATGTCTTAGTGATAACACTATTTGACCATAAGCCTCTGACAAAATCCATTTTGTATGCATTCCAGGAAGAATCACAGACACTAATATCTTGGAAGACAGAGTGGTCAATCCACTGATTTTAGTCTTGGTGGGGGGTCTAAAAGTTACCTTGCAAATGGACTACATAACCCCTCAGCTGTAGTCTGATGTTGGTACTCACAAGGACCCAGAGGAAAACTTGCCCATCTATGCCACTGGGACATGCTGACTACCTTGTCCCACAGCAGAACTCAAAGGGGCCATGTCCCAATTCCAGCCCCTCTTTGTCACAGTCCAATATTTACACTGTTTGCACAGGGAACTTATGGGTAATGCATCCAGACCAGTCTACTGGCCTCTATTCCACAGCAATTCCTGCGGGGTCTTGAATATCAGTTCTACCTCCTCTTAAATTTGGTCTGCAAGAAATCCTTTCTGCACAGGGAACTTCTGGGAGTCTTGTTCACTGACACCACAGGATCAGGCTTACAACCATCCATACCAGAGCAGATTCTGAAATAGCAATGTTCTATATGAACAAAATGTGGTCTATCAGCAATTCTCCCTAGAGTAGGTCTTTCTGAGAGAAATGACTAGTGAGTCCTCATGACATGCTTGCAACTTCTGTCCCATATCAGATTCTCAAATAGTCTTGCATCTTGGTCTTGGCTCCTATTGTCTGTGGGCTGAGAGCCATTCTCTCTACCTGGGAACCTGGAGAAGAACAGACTCAGCAGTTCCCTTCAGGATGATGCTCTGACCTCAGTTTCTTTGTGAATTTTGAAATGGCCCTGTAAGTTGGCTCCAGTCTTTCTCAACTTCAGTCTGATAACAGATTTGATTACCTAGGAACCTACCAGGAGACATACCTATCTGTGACCCTGAAGACATTCCTGAAGAACTTGATCTTAACTATAGAACTGAAATAAACTTGTATCTCAGTCATGGATCATTTCTCCATGGACTGGAGCAGTACAGCAAGCCCAGGGATCCATCCATGACCAAACACAGGTCTTCCAAGAAACCTGGAGGAATCCAAACCCATCAGTAACACCAGGTAAGAGATCTGCTGTCTTTGAGCCCTGAAGTGAATGCTCATTCTAGTACCAATCCCACATATCAGTATCCTGTACACAGTCCAGTCCACTCAAGAGCAAGAAAGGACACATGCCCAGTAGAGCCCCTGGAAAAGGTTTGGCAGCTGTAGTCTTCATTGTGGATACAGCATCAGCCACATCACTCAAACACAGCCCCACTCCCAGGGGAAATTGCATCAGCCAAGAGACCCAACAGGAAAAGATCAACTTGTCAAAACCAGTTTGCAAAGACTTAAAACAAGAATTTATTCTCTGAAATGCAGAGACATCAGTGGAAATGTCACCATCAAATGAAACTCATGAAGCTTAATTGACTTCAAATAATTCAAAATAATTATCTTGAAGAAGTTCAATGAAATGTGAGAAAATAAGATGACTAAATTATATTAGGAAAATAATACATTGGAAATAATAAGTTAAAAAATTAGAAATCATAAAAAGAGAACCAAACCAAAATTCTTGAGGTGAATAATACGACAGAGTGAAAAATTGAGACTTTCAAAAACATGCAGAAGAAGGAGATTGCAAACTTGAAGACAGTTCATTTGAAATCAGCCAATTAGAAGAACAAAAAGAAAAAATAATACATGAAGGAATCATAAGGGATCTATGAGACACCATTAAATCCATTTCTGAATGCATATGCAAAGGAGTTGAAATCAATATGCTAAAGAGATTTCTGTACTTCTATGTTTATCACAGCATTATTCACAATAACACATACACATAGAGCCTTAAAAGGGGGGATATCATGTAATTTGTGATAACATGGATGAACCTGACTACTCTATGGTAAGTGAAATAATTCAGGCACAGAAAACAAATACCACAGGATATAATTTATAAGAATAAATTTTAAAAAATTATACTCACAGAAAATAGAATAATGGCTAGCAGAAGTTAGAGGATAGAGAGATATGGAAAAAGAAGAGATGTTGATTTAGTACAATGTAATACTTTATCCATTTTAGTATTTATTTTGTTCTAGTACCATTGGATAAACTCTGTATTTAACACACAATTATTCTTAGGTGTTTACATTTTAACTGAAAAGTGATCCCTGTTAGGAATTTGGAAAACATTATGTTGAGTGAAATAAGCCAATCCCAAAGGGACAAATACCACTTGTTCCCCTTGATAGGTGACAACTAACTGAGCACCAAAAAGGAAACCTGTTGAAGTGAAATGAACACTATGAGAAACGGTGACTTGATCAGCCCTCAACCTGACTGTTGATGAGCAGCTTAATATGTTATCCCTCTTAGTAATTTTTTTGTTTGTTCTACTTAATACCTTTGGTTGAATACTGTAATCAATACACAATTCTTCTTAAGTGCTGAAACTTAACTGAAAAGTGATTGCTGTTAAATATAAGAGTGGGAATAAGAGAGGGAAGAGATGTGCAATTCGGGACATGCTCAAGCTGACTTACCTCAAACGGCAGAGTTAGAAACATACCAGGGGATTCCAATTCAATCCCATCGAGGTGGCATGTACCAATGCCATCTCACTAGTCCCAGTGATCAATTTCTGTTCACAATTGATCATAATGATAGGACTAAGAACCAAAGGGATCACATAAACAAGAATAGTGTCTGCAAATACTAGCTGATAGAATCAAAAAGGGAGAGATGATCCAACATGGGAAGTGAGATACACAGCAGACCCATAGAATGGCAAATGTCCTAAACAGCGCTCTGGCCTCAGAATCAGCCCTTAAGGCATGTGGATCCGGCTGAAAAGCCCATGAGAGTATTTCAGGCATGGAAAGCCAAGACACTCTGGAAAAAACAAACAAACAAACAAACAAACAAAACTAAATGAAAGATCTCTGTGAGTGAGATCCCAGTGGAAAGAACGGGTCATCAAAGAAGGAGGTACCTTTCTCTGAAAGGAGGAGAGAACTTCCACTTTGACTATGACCTTGTCTAAATAAGATAAGAGTCGGTGAACTCAGGGTGCTTCCATAGCCTTGGCAGCTCATGACAAGAGCCTAGGGTGATTACTGATGCCATAAACAAGAGTGTCAATTTGTTAAGTCAACAACAGGAGTCACTGTGCTCTTACTCCTCATGTAGGATCTTTGTCCTTAGTGTGCTGTACATTGAGATTTAATGCTATAACTAGTACTCAAACAGTATTTTTCACTTTATGTTTCTGTGTGGGAGCAAACTGTTGAAATCTTTACTTAATGTATGCTAAACTGATCTTCTGTATATAAAGAGAAACGAAAATGAATCTTGATGTGAATGGAAGGGGAGAGGGAATGGGAAAGGGGAGGGTTGCGGGTGGGAGGGACGTTATGGGGGGAAGCCATTGTAATCCATATTCTGTACTTTGGAAATTTATATTCATTAAATAAAAGTTAAAAAAAAGAATTAGAAATGGATGACCGCTTCTACAATTACTATTCAATATAATTCTGAATGTTTTAGCCAGAGGCATTAGGCAAGATAAAGAAGTCAAAGAGATACACATTTGAAAAAAGGAAAGTCAAATTATCCCTGTTTGCAGATGACATAATCCTATATATAGGGGAACCAAAAGACTCCAATAAGAGACTTGGGACTCATAAGAAAGTTTGATCAAGTAACAGGATACAGAATTAATACACAAAAATAAAGACTTTGTATGCACAAAACATGCAATGGCTGTGAAAGAACTTGTAATATCAGTCCCATTAACCATATCTACAAAAAATATCAAATACTCTGGGATAATCTAACCAGGGATGTGAAACATCTGTACAATGAAAATTATAAAACATTAAAGCAAGGAATAGAAGAACTCTGGAAGTGGAAAAATTTTCCATGTTTGTAGATTGGAAGAATATAATTAGCATTTACATTCTACCAAAATCAATGTGTCCCAATCAAAATACAAAATTTATTCTTCTCAGATCTAGAAATGATGATCCTAAAATTAATATGGAAATACAAGAGTCTCTGAATAGCTGATGTAATCTTTATAATAAAAACAAATCTATAGACATCATAATAACAATTTTCAAAGTATGTTACAAAACTTTTACAATCAAAAAAGTCTACTATTGGCACAAAAATTGACCTTTAGATTAATGGAAAGGAATAGAAAACCCATACATTAATCTACACATCTACAAATAACCAATGTTTGATAAATGAGCTAAAATCACTCCTTGGATAAATAACAGTCTTTTCAACAAGGTTGTTGAGAAAATTCGATCTTTACATGCAGAGTGTAAAAGCCTGATACCTTATATTCTATAGAAAAATCAACTCATAGTGGGTCAAGGATCTAAACCTAAGACTTGAAGTATCAAATTGCTAAAGGAAAATATATGGCAAACACTGCAAGACATTGGCATAGGCAAAGGCTTCTTGGATAAAACCCCAGAAGCACAGACAATAAAAACAAAAATAGACAAATGGAATTACACCAAGCAAAGAAACTTCTGCACAGCAAAGGAAACATTCAACAAAGTTAAAAAGGCAAGTGATATGCTAGGAGAAAACATTTGCAAACTATGCATCTAACGAAAGATTAATATGAAGAATATAATATAAGGAACTCAAGAAAATAAATAAAAACAAAGTATCCAGTTAAGAATTGGTAAACTGGCATGAACAGGCATTTCTGAGGATGAAATATAAACAACCAACAAACACCTGAAAAAATGCTCAGGATCACCAGCCATTAGGGAAATTCAAATAAAAACCACAATGAGAATTCACCTCACCCTAGTTAGAATCACTATCACCTAAAATCAAAAACTAAATTCTGGAGAGGAGGTGAAGAAAAAGATGCCCTAATATAATTTTGATGGGAATATAAACTAGTGAAAACATCGAAGAATATAGAGATTCTTCAGAAATCTAAAAATGTGATTCCCCGACCCTGACCCTGGGAATATAACCAAAGGAAATGAAATCAGCATACTAAAGAGTTACCTATACTCTGTTTATAGCAGCTCAAATCATAATAGCTAAGATATGAAATCAACCCAGATACCCATGAAAATGGTGACTATATAAAGAAAATGTGGTATTATATATATATAATATATATATATAAATATATATATGATGGAATACTACCCAGCTATAAAGAAGACATCATGACTAATGCAACAAAATGGATGCAACTGGAAATCATAATGATTAAATAAATGAGACCCAAAGGACAAATATTACATGCTTTCTCTGATTGTGATGGTTAATATATACAGAAAAACATTTTAAGGTATATGAGTGAAATTGACATTTTGGGATTTGATTTTTTTAGAGTCCTTTTCAATATTCCTGCTGAATAGTGGTCTCTACTTTTTATTTTCTGTACTTTTTATTTAGTGGAGTATTAAGCCTATTATATAAAATTATAAAACATATATATATATATATGTATAAATATGTTACCACAAAAAGAAAAAAAGACAGGAAGGAAGGATGAGAGAAGGAGGGAAGAATTATTATGTACTTAGAATTTTATGTATGAACTACATGACATGTGTTCTCTTTATATTAATAAAAGGGAAGGAAAGGAAGCTACAGATCAATAACTAGTAGGCATACAGATGTCAAAGTTCGTAACATATGAGCAAACAGAATTCAGCAACATATAAAAAATCATACGCTCTGACCGAGTGGGGTTTATTCTAAGATGCAAAGCTAGATCAGCATTTAAAACCAATTAAGTAATCTATCATAACAATCTGAAGATGAAAATGACATAATTATATCAATTTAGTAAAAGCATTTGACAGAATTCAATATCCATTTATACCAAAAACTCTCAGAAGACTAGGAATATAGGGGAGTTTCCTCAAATTGACCAAGAGAAATTTTACATCAGTGTAGAAATTTGAAAGCCTTGTTGTGACACAGTACTCTAGTTTTGAAGTATGTAACCCCTGCAGGACACACAGTTAAGGATACAGGACATCCCCTTGTATCAGTTCTTACGACTGCATGTTAATACACATTTGTCTCTAAAAATTGTTTAACTTAAAAAATCCCTTTTTAAAAAAAAATTAATTACTTGAAAGTCTAAGTTACACAAAGAGAGGAGAGGCAGAGAGAGAGAGAGAGAGAGGAAGGAAAGGAGGGAGGGAGGGAAGGGAGGGAGGGAGGGAAAGAGGGGAGGGAGGGAGGTCTTCATCCGCTGGTTCACTCCCCCATTGGCCATAACAGCAGGAACTGGGCTGATCCAAAGCCAGGATCCAGGAGCCCCTTCTGGGTCTCCCACATGGGTGTAGGAGCCACGTGCTTGAGCCATATTCCACCTGCTTTCCCAGGTCATAGCAGAGAGCTGGATCTAAAGTGGAGCAGCTGGGACTCAAACTGGCATCCATATGGGATGCTAGCACTGCAGGTGGCAGCTTTACCCCCTACATTGTGCTGGCCCCTTAAAAATCCTTGATTGATGTACAGATGTGTTGGCAAGCCCTCTGTGTACCCAATGATTAGACAGTTCTCTTACCTCTCATGGCTCTTCTAATTTTCCCTTCCCTCCAACCAAATTAGAGGTTGGGAACTACAAGTTTCTTTAAGAGATTACTTCTCCATAATTTCTTCCCCAATTACTGACCCATTACCTTGAACTTAAAGGACCATGCTAGCCACTGTGAGGTGAAATTCTTCAGAGCAGTGCAATGACTAGAGTTAGTGTTTAGTGAAATTAAGACTAAGCAAAATTAAACAAATCAATGGAAATTTGTTTAGGAATTTTTTCCTCATTTTTCTTGACTTTTCATTTTCAATATTATGGGCAAATTATCAGATATTTTGAAGGAATAATGATGATATAATATGTAAAGTTAAAAATGATCCTCTGGGCAGAGGCTGTGTTTATAACAAAAAAATACAATGGTTGTTTTGCTAATAATTGTGTTCTATTGTCCAGATGATGGTGCTAGAACAGTATTAACAGTGTGAGAGCTGGAAACTCATTCTGGGTCATTCAAAGTCATAAGTGGATTATTATGAAAGACATTCGAAAATGGTTTTTCCTAACTAATCATCATTGGTACCATTTTCATTATTAGATACTTTTGTAAAAGTTTATAATCTATATAACTTTTACAGCAATGCAAGAAATCCTTCTAAGAACTAGCAGCTCTATTCACATGAGAATTATTAATTTCATTTATAAATGAAGTACCTGTTTAGCCTATTGAAAGGATACATCACAAAGAGGATCATGATAATATGTTAGGTATCTCTAATACAAAGTAATTGTTTTTTGAAAAGAGCAAATCAGAAATGTTCATAGTCAAGAGACTTAGATGTTGTACATAAAAAATATTTTAAAGCTATGATTATTAACATGATGATTAAAGTAAATTGAAACTAAATTTTTAGGATATTTATAGCAACATTTAACAGTAACAGATTACACATGACATGCATTTTGTAGAACTATATAAAAACAACACAAAGATTCAAATAATACATGATTCTACTGTTTTATGAAGGAAAGTTAACCTTGAGATTTTCAGAGTTGGAAAAAATAAAAAGCACGACAAAGAATACAGAATGAGAAATAGAAATGAAAATCTTTTTCTTGAGTTTTTTTAGTTTGTACACTGTACTTTTATCATTTCTCACCTGAGTATTAAGTCTTATGTCAAGTGGGATAGCTATTAGAAGAAAGCAAGAAACAGCTTTTCAAAAAAAAAAGTTTATTGGGTACATCTGAACACTATCTTGTAGGTGCCAAATTACAGAAACTATAGCATATAAAATATCTCCTCAGAAAACAGACTTTTCTCAACCCACAGAACTGAAGAAAAATGACGTGCTTGCACATTGAGTACTGAAAACAAATTCTGATTCTCTC